AATCGCTGTGACCAAATGGCACAAGCCAGTATGAAGTTAATCACCGTCCGTCCAATTCTTTGATGATGATTACACAACAATAGTGGGACCAGTCAAGTCATACCTGCATATCACTCACTAACAAGTTAATTAAGCAGTGATCAGCCTCATTATCACCTGCACCAAGTGCTCGGGAGTGTTACAATATACTTATAGAAAGCCAAAACAAAAGGAAAAGAATGAAAAAGAAAGAAAAAACTTGCTATTCATTTTGTAATGGTTTTTTTAGGTGTAAATTTTGTGTAATAGGTTTGAAAGCTGGAGCTTTGGATAGCATCGCTGGTTTTTGTAATGGTTACTTGCTACTCTAGGGAGATGGCCTATGCAAAGCCCAAGGCATTAGAGGCATTGAAGGGAATGTTCATTCCCAAGTTTAGTGGTAGTCATGTGACAGGTGCTGTGTTCGCCATCATTGGGGCTCTTGTTATGTCGTAATCGTCTCTCATGATCTCTTTATGTATATAGAGAGAAAAAAGCTAATGATAGGATGTCACGTAAAATGAGTAGTAGTTTCAGTAACGCATGCTTCTATTTAAATTTTAAAATGTTTTATAAATTGATTTCAGCTAAAATTTTGCGCATCTGTTTTAATAATTTTAGCCTAAATTTTAAAATGAAATATCAAACAAATCCTAAAAAGTAGTGGGGGTAATTTTGCGCATCTGTTTTAATTGTTTTATATTTAAGTTAAAATTTTATATTTGTTTTAATTTAAAATATTTCACAGTCATAATTTGATTTTGCTCTCAGCGTTTGTCTTATCCAAGAAGGTTCCCCAGTCCGTTCATGGGATAAATGTTAGTATAAGCATCTCTCTCTCTCTCTTTATTATTATTATTTTCTGTTTTTTTTTTTTGGTTCAGTTATAGGAATCGAATTTGAGATTTAGCATTGTTAATATCAACTACTAGCCACTCAACCCCAAGCCCAATCCACTTCAGTTTCTTTTCTTTTTCTTCGATTTGTTATTTATTTATGCCTGATTTTTTTTAATATCTTTTTCAGTCCTTTTTCCATCTGGACTTTGGGTTCACTGGATCCTGTCTCTTCTCTCTCCTTGAGAACGATTTATGCTTCAATCTGAATTAGATTTGTGTATGGGGTGTCACTGATTGCATGCAGATACTTCTTGATTGAGAGTGGGTTTGCACTTTTCATAGCTTTTCTGATAGACGTGGCAGTGGTGTCCGTTTGTGGCACTGTGCGCTCACAGTCGAACACCTGCATTGAGGACAAAGATAGATATGATAATGTTGATCTGAGCACTACATCCTTCTTGCTCAAGGTATCATTCACCCAAAATCTTTTTCTATAAAAGAGAGCACCTTAAAACGATGTGGGGGAATGACACCTTGAGCAAAGAGGATACAATGCTCAGATCAAGGTTGTCATATTTATCTTTGTCCTCATGGGAGATGTCTGACCTTGAGCACATAGTACTTGAAACCGACACCATCGCCATGTTGATAAGAAACGCCATGAAAAGTGCAAATCCACTTTCAATCAAAAAGTATCTGCATGCACTCTGTGACACCCCAGACATAAATCTAATTCAGGTTGAAGCATAAATCATTCTCATGGAGAGAGGAAAACACAGAAGAGCAGGTATATGTACAAAAGAACAAGATAGTGGACGGAAAATCTCATAGAAGATGAAAAAGACGGTGGACATAAAGTCTTGTTGATAGTTATAGTAACTAAATATAGAAAGCTCAATATTTGGACAATTTTCCAAGGGTTCAAAGCAAAAACTTACGGCCCAAGCAAAAAAAAAAATTCACAGAACCTTCACCGTGGCCTTAATGTTGCAGATAAAGATGACCACTGAAACCTCGGCTTCAATTCATTTCATGACTATGGACAAACCCACAAGACATACGATTAAGAGAAACATAGATGAAGGATAGAGAGAAGAAGAATCAAATTCTGATGATCAATGGATCACTACCTGCTCTGATACTATATAGAATTTACAATAAAGGAAATAGAGATGAAGGGTAGAGAGAAGAAAATCAACAAGGCATATATGTGGTTCAGCAATGGTGCCTACATTCACAGAGGGGAAACCGATATCTCATTCAAAGGGATTACTATAGTTTAACAGAGATTTATAAAGTTATAACTCTTGCTTTTTAGAAAACAAATCCCATTACAATTGTAATCCCAAAAAATAAAAGGAAAATAGGAAAGTTAATATTTGGCTACTACAACCAAATATAAGAAACTCAACATTTGGCTACTATAACTATCCCCCTCACTATGAGCTTCTTTTTAATTTTTTTCTCTTCTTTTACCATCATATACCCATATTATTGGAAAAAATGTCACAATCACTAGCTGTTGTATTTTAAGTTGTCTAATTTGTCTTTTAATAGCTAAAGATGACTATGAGTTCTAATAGTATTTTATCCTTAATATACCAAATTGAATAGGGTTTGAAGTATTTTATTTCCAACAATTTATAGGTACAGGTCGGTTCAATCAGACCCAGACCTACACCCAAATAGTGTTAGGGTCCAGGTTTTGGAACCAGGCCTAAGTCCAAATTTGAAACCATACCCAGACTTGTTTCGAGTATATCCGGCAGGTCCTGGGTCTTTATTTGAACCCATATCCTAGACTTGACCCACGTCTTTTGTGGAGCTCAAAGGTACACTTCCTCCATCGGGTGAAAGAGTTCATCGTGTACCGCACATTCAGTAATACAATCTAATCTACACATTCTATTTTGGAGGTCGTATACTCCATCCGATGAAAAAGCTAGCTACATAGAGAAGAAAGATTACTCCGATCATAAATTTTGGGATCCTACCAAGAATCACTGCACGACAATGTTTTAATAGAGTTATTTCGATTTGAGTTTTTAAACATCATATATCCGACCTCCAAAATTTTAGAAATATTTTTTTTTCTAGCCTACAGAGTGTGATCCTTGGGTAGAAGAGGTTCCATCCCGAAAATTTCGGGGCCCAAAAAAATTGTACCTACATGATTGAGTTTTATTTGGAGACGAGTGAAAAGAGAAACAGATTTTTTTTTGTGTGAGTAAGTCAAGAGACGGCCCCTACCTTTGGCAGGAATGGAGCCTAGGACATAGCGTTGCGAATCGTTAAGCACTAACCAATTAAATCCGAGCTCTTTTCTTTGAAGCAGAATCTTTTGAGTTATGAAAAATGCATATTAGAGGAAAAGAGGGCTGAGTGACCATGTGTTTGCATAACCATTGTAATATCTTGACAGCATTTTTTAAACAAATTTGCTCCAAATTCAAAGAAAATGAACAACGAACAAGCATAAAACTTATAAATAATTTCAATATGAAAATCAAACAATTGCTAGTGATCTGCAACAAAATTCAACCACCACCACAAAGTAGAAATAAATCCTAACTACACTTCCCAAGCGCCAACATCCCTCCCAACAACGATTGGCAATCCACATTCTATCCAAAGAAAAATTTAGAAGAAAAAAAAGAAACAAAACCCC